GCAGGTGACAACCAGGGCCTCCTCTTTTAAGTTTGGTTATTTTTTTTTTAATTTTCTGTTTCAAATTGTTTAATGGTACATAGTGATCCAAATCATCTAAAAGTTTTTCAGTCGTATTATTTTCTTTTGGATGGATGATAAGTGCTGGAGATTTTTTATTTGAGTTGTAATCGTTCACAGATGGATAATTGTGTGGTAGTGTGATATTCGGAGTAGAATGTGTATGGCAGTTTGATCTCATATGCAAGTGATCTTGATGAAAATTATCAGTGTGAGTTTCATTTAAATGAAAATTAGGAATAATATGAGCTGATTTATTTTGAGTATTGATTTTTTCTTTTTGAGATTGAGGAGACTGAATAGACGGAGTAACTTGCCCCGCTTTGTCTTGCATAGTAGTCTTCTTATTATGAGTATTTGGAGACAGGATAGTAGGAGTGACTTGGCCTGATTTATCAGAATAGTTCTTAATTTCAGTTGATTTCATGGCAATATTTCTTAGATTGTCCAAAATTTGTGTTAGTTGATTTTGTAACTTTAATGGAATAGTGTTCTTTTCCCCCTTTTTGGATTTTAACAATTTCAGTCCTTTGTTGTAAAAGAATTCGATGACCTCCTTATTGCTGACGAGGACATTTTCAGAATTTTCGAGAACGTCAGTTGAATACTCCATATCTAATTCTGAATTTGTGTCCGAAAAAGTATCAATGGTACTCATTATTATTATAAAATAATAGAAATGTAGAGAAGAAAAATAGAAGTAAAAAGTTGAAGTCTTGTAAAATTGAAATCTTCAAAAACACAAGAGTCAATGCTTTCTGCTATTAAAATGTAAACAATGCGTTAACTTTTATTTCGTATATTACTATTTAATAATATTTAAATATTTAGTGTTTCCAATTACAGAAAACTAATAATTTCTTAAAATATTTTTAAAATGAGATTTATTTATTTTATTAATTAAGGATATTAACAATTTTATATATTAGATGAATGTATTATTGCATGCGCTTAGTTAAATTTTGACATATGCATTGCTAGTATTATTCCAATGATTTAAATATGAAAATAAATAGTAAAATATTGAAAAATGTATAATAACTTTTAAAATAATGAATATTCAGAAATTAAACCAATATGAAAAAGAAAGAGAAAATTCTTCTTGTTATTTCTATTATAAAATCATTATATTTCAACAAAATCTTAAAATGTAAATATAAAAGATATATGTTTTTAGATCAGTTAGAGCCGATTCAACAATGTAAATCAATAAATGTAAATCAATAAAAGAGGATAAGTTTCAAAATTGAAAATAGAATAATTTTTAAATTCAAATAGGTATAGGAATCTTAATGTAAAGAAGAAAATTTCTCTTTTAGAAAAATATAATTTAAAACAGAATTTTCAAATGAAATCTTGAAAATATTTAGTACAAAAAGCTTACACCACCGTTGAAACGGAGTAATGATTGTTGAAAAGCTGAGACATTTTATCCGAAGTTGTAATTAATCCAACCGTCCACAGGTGATAAGGAGCACCCCTATGAGAGTTATATCAAATTGTTACTCTTGTAAAGGGCTGTCGAATGACATATTTTTCAAGAATATACCGTCGGCATTTCTGCACTTAAAAATTCTTAAATGATCAGCATTAAAACATCCAATAAACAATATAGCAGTCAGTAGATGATCCTCAATTAAAATATTAAAAATTTCTGTGAATGAATTATTGAGGTGTATATGTGCATATGAGGAAAAGTGGGAAAACATTCATGCAGCCAACTTGTTTTGTTAATATCAACATTCATGTGAACTTGTGGTGTTGCGCGGCCCCAACCTGCACGCAACAATAAATAGTAGTGACTGCTATGAACTGGAAAGTACACAAACTCTTAAGAAGGGTTTAACTCCCTTTTTATTCCACTTTAGAAGTTACAGATGCGTGCACTTGACGCTCACAAACTACGCCGACCCGGCGGTAAAATAAAAATAAGAAATTAAAAATGAATAATAACAAGTTACTACCTACGAGGCTCTCTAAAACGTAACTAACTTAACCGCGTTCTAAGATACAGCTGAGATTTCAGCAAACTTTCTGAATAAAAAGTTGAAAGATTCAACTATCGGCCGAAGCAAGCACACAGGCCGAAACGCGCGGTTCTTAAATTTCTACCTAGCAACCTTCACGCTCGTGAAGCAAGAAAGCACAGTTACGAACTCGTTTCCCTCCTTTTTAACTGAAAATTACTTCCGATGACAATTTGAATACTTTGCGCGTTCTACTAAAATTTACATACTCTGGCATTGGCAATTCCAGGGGAAAGTAAGGCTTGACAGGAAAAATAGCTTAAAATAAATATAAACCCTACAAACTGATTATTTGACTGTAGGCACACGGTTTGAACGAACAAAACTGTAATTTACAGAATCAGTTTAGATACGTTTGCTCAACTTAGGAGCACTTCTTTAGATCAATATTAAAATAGAATGATGATAGCTATTTCTCTAATTTGCAGTTTAACAAAGTTTGTTTACATTATTTCACTTCTCATTATGTAAACAATATTTTCTCATATAAAATAAGAACAAAACTTCTGCTATATAAATATCGCGAGATCTTAATATAATTCTAACAATTCTAACTATAGATTATAATAGTATTCTAACTATAGATTCCATTGTCTAAAATTTTCTTATTAATTATTATTTTTAGCCGTATTAACCACATAAAATTTCGTGCCAAATTTTAATCTTCTGAAATCCGTAAATGTTTGTATAAAAAAATTCTACTTGTTAAAAATACAATTTAATCAAAATTTTCTCAAAAATCATAATTGTTAACCAGAGCGCATTTGGAATATGCCAGTTTAGGTGATTTCAAAATGCTACCAGTGTTTAATTGATATAATTATTGGAAACCTGCGGTGTGATAGCTTTCTCAATCATAGGCTTCTGTTTATAGACTGTTACTTAGAAACAGGTACTTAAAGGTCATAGCAACTCTCCCCTCGTTTTCAATCGTAACGTATGTCGTTGCCATCGCACAACAGGAATTAGAGGATTTTAGCAAATTAGAAGATTCGATCTTTTTTCCTCAGCAGTCGTTACTATGGTTATAAGCCACAGTTTGGGGGAGAGACGAAATATGCACTTGAAGTGACTTTTCTAGAGTGACAGGTTACAGTACGTAATAAATCTGATAAAATCATGTGGTCAAGAAACGGTAAATAAGGTAGGGTTCAGAGGTTGTTGTATGTTATGTGCCAGCAGTAGTCACATACGATCCCATTCGTAGCCCACCAGCGGTCGAGCGGTAAAGTCACTGAACACTGGTAGTTCGGTCCGAGGTTCGAATCCTGCGAACTGGCTGGCTGCATGGGTGTTTTCGTGGTTTTCCCCATGTGTAACGTGTATACGAGCCAGTTTCCCTTAGAAAGTCCTCCACGTAGGTATCCCTCTCCTTAGGCAGATAGCCCTCGAGCCTTTGCCGTAATTAAATAACCTAACCTAACGATCCCATTCGTAACTAGCCCTAAGTACGTAATGTAATATAATGTAATATACTAGTGAACTATATAATGTAATATATTAGTGAGACGATATTATTCGGCCTCATGGTTAACGCAGCACACCCAACACAATGAGACAGACACTCAAAAACCAATAACTAATAACAATAACTAAAATCAAAATACAGTTAAAAACATCAAATTAAAATTTTAATACTGTTTGTTCTATTACGTTTTATGCAAATTTTCAATTCCTTTGCAAATTTAAATTGTTTCTTGTGGCAGAAAAATTCTTTTATGTTGCCATGTTTTTCACTAACATGTCGCAAAAATTCACGGTCCTCGGCGAAATGTCGTGCATTTCTTTTAGCATTACAAAAATTATTATTTATCAAATTAAATCTTTTCAGGTACGTCGGGAAGTCGCACGCCTAGTAATTATTTGATTGTAATAAATATCACAGATCATTCTCATATTTTTAGGAACCTCAAAGTTCAGAAGATAATTCTTGTTTTCCGAAATGTTCCATTGATTTTTCCAGCAATCATAATAAAAGTCCTTGGTTTTTACCAATAAAAATTCTTTTTGATACCTGGATATACGGAACGCAACCAGCATTACACTTTGCAGCTTCTTCGGGGTGCATGTTGGCCTTCTCGTTGCCTTTAACACCAAAATGAGCTTTCACTCAGTTCATTTTCTCTTCATGTATTTTTCAACTTGCACAAGATCTTTTATATATGAGACCAAAATTTGTATGACTGCTCCTAGTGTACTTCTTAAATTGAAAACTAATTTTAACTCTTAAAAATGAAGAAAATAAAAGTTCTGTTAGCAAAACACTCAAAATAAGCTCTGAATTAATTAAAGTGAATTAACTTGCGTGTGGTCTTACGTTATTCTATCTGAAAAGCTATTAAAAAGTTTGAAAGAAATATATCTCATTATGTTGAAATAGCTCGTGTTTATTTTAATCTATCTTATATACTGTTAATTGTTACAAATACTGCTAATAAAGCATGTTATTCGCACCATGGTATCAACACGCATGCTAACTTAGAAAACAGTTTTTCACCACTGATAGCAGAGAATTAATATTGTACTCCTTAAATATCCTTGTAAATAATGTTGTATTTGTTATTCTACATTAGTGTATCAATTGTTTTGCTTCTTTAAGAGTTTTAAATTTGAAAATATTTCAAACCTTTACATTTTTTCATAAAAAATTTTAACATTCATAAAAATTAAAGATTTTTTAATAAGTATTTCCTTTATAATATCGAATTAGACAATACCATTTTGTTTTTATGCACTGATAGTAAGAGGCGACAATTTCCAACGATAATAAAAAATATCGAACTGGTAAGTATTTTAATTACACAAATTATTTTTTTATTAATTCTTAGAAAAATTCCTATTTATTGCCATGGTTAACAATATTCTTGATTAATAACTCTGAAGTTTTATTGTGATTCCTGATTTTCTTCTCAGAGTTTTCCACAAGATTTTGTATGGGCAGCAACAGCAGACGCCAGCTAAAGAGTCTCTTGCAAAAAAACGAGAATCCACAAAAGAAACTAAATTAAAGATGTTCCTCAAGCGCAGCAGTGAACCCATTTTAAACGTTCCATTCCCTCAGGTAATATACATTTTTAATCCTGATTTAGAATGCATTAATTTACGATCAGTCTCAAATAATATAAAGCGGACGTGCTAAATAATATATGTATGAAATTAAAACCCTTTAAGGTTAAAAATGTAGTTAAACGAAGAAAAATCACTTTTCGTAAATGCCTTATAAATTAGGCATACTTTCTGTAAACTGTGAAACAAAAATGGTGGAACTTTTTAAAAGACTTAATGCAAGAATCAAGGGCATTGGATAAATCTGGATTAATATTATCATTAGAAATGCGAGGTTTTGAATAATTTTATTTGGTTTTAGCAGAAGAGTTACGATGTCATTGCGTGCTTTATCCTATAGCCTCTTGTACAGAAAGAAAAGTTTAAAAATCAGTAATATTTTAACAGAGATGCTGTCTTTTAATATGCCTGTTTATGGTAATCTCAGTGGATTCACTGATCTCATTTGATTACTATACCGATCAAATAACGGCTGTTTCCTGTAGTATGGAAATTCGGCTCTGAAAAATACTCTCTTCCACTTTAAAATAAGCCTTGACTTTTTTTTTTTTTTTTCTTTCTTTTTTTTTTTTTTTTCTTTTAAATGATAAGATATTTTCAGGACAAAGCGAAAATATGAGAATATTTCTATTTTGATGTACCAGCATAGGAATGCGTACATATAATCCATTTTTTGAAGAATATTTGAAAAATAATAAACTCTAATCGAGAAATGGTATTATTGTAAAACAACTATTTCATGATTATCTACAGAAGTTTCAAAAGTATATTTGTGGTTTAAACAACATACATATTTTTTATTTAAAATAATTGTTGGCATTTTTAAACATATGGTTTGCTGAAGATGAAGACTATTACTCAGGAAAACCATAACAACTCTAAATAAGTACGCTATTTTAGATTTCCCGAGAATTCCATAAAGAATCATGGGCTGTATTCAAAAATTTGTTTTCGCACTATATTTTAGACTAGTTTCTTTATGCTTTTTTATATTCGAAATTTCATATTTATAAGTAGTTTACTTTTCCTCTTTGCTTTAAAATACTTAACTACAAACTTTGCAAAGTAAGTCATTTTGGCACTCAGAAATTCTCCTTTTTCCACTTATGTAATAAAAGCAAAGCAGAAAAGTTGAACTGTGTTGTCGTGTTTAAGAAGCTCTTTCTTTTGAATCAGTATTTCCCTTGGATTTTCGTTTGCACTGCTAGGGCTCCAATATTCGTATCTGAATAACACCGTGCTCACCGATTATTAACTGTCTCCTCTATATCATAACTTAAGAGTGAGAATTACTCCATTGATATTATAAATAGAAATAACAAACTTCTTGTAAGAATAACAATTTTATTGGAAGGCCTTGGTAATTCTGAGAATTCCAGCATTTACAAATTCATATATACTTTTTAATCATTTTAAACCATAGCAAACGTTTTCCCAATTTAAAATGAACTAAAGCTGGGGTAGTGATGTCAGCTTCTAGAATGTATAAGAATCAGATCGATCGATGTGAGTGTGAATGTGCCTTTTATGCTGAGTTTTGAAACGAACATTTTCGTTGTTATGTCCGTGTATGAGTTTTGTGCTTCAATAAAGTGTTTGCGTGAAAATTGTAATGACGTTTGCCTTTCGGGACCATACAAAACACCTTACTTCATGCTCCAATACTGAGATTTCGTTCTCGAAAATTGAAAATATAGAAAATATATAAGACAAGAAGACCGTGAGCAGAATATATATTTGATTAAGCCTCAGTATTCGTTTGCTGTGCACCGTCCTGATTATCAGTCATGAAGTTACGAAGAAAATTTTTTACGAGACTTTAAAGTGATAGCAGACTTATTACAGACAGAAAAATTGTTCCAGGAATTTGATCAAGGTATATATGTAAATGGTGAAGATACTACTTTATTTAATTACTTCGAAATAGGTTTCCAGCCACTACCTGAATAATTCTGAAGATTAAGACAATTCAAATATCCTACAAGAACTTTACAATGTCGGCTTTCTTGAATCGATGGAAGAAAAATATAAATTAAAAGAGTTGCTCTGTATGTCTGACGTATTTTTGTTTGAAATTCGCTTAAAAGGCATATGTAACATCACTGAAAATTATCATTCTACCGTGAAAAGGAAGCAGAAATTAAGTTGAAAAATTTGTGCTTCATATTTTATTTTCAGCCGCTAAACGTTATTTCAGTTATGGCAAATATTCATATATTGAAGAAACAATGAGTTTCATAAACAGTAAATTTTATTTGAAATATTTCTTTCATTCAAAAATGCATTTAATATTAAACTTATTTTGAGGATCGTAACACAAATGAATTTTTCGGTTTGCGTTCTGCTTAATTAGAAGAATCACGTATCTAAGAAAATATACAGATAAAACCAATTTCAATGTATTCGTGAGAAAAAAAAAATTAGTAATTCTATAGTATTTTATATGTTTTTTCCCAATATGTGCGCCTTTATCACAAAATCAAGCAATTTATCCCAAACATTAGCTAAATCTGCTCCTAAGGAGAGATTCCATTAACTTGCAGAATTTAATGCTATTAGATACCTTCCTATAACATGAAAACTTTTTGATGAAACAGTGATTAAAAATAGACTATATGCGAACTAGTAACGGCAAGGAAAGAAAAAGTTAAGTGAATGCGCAAGAATTGAATCGTCAGGCGATTTTGAACTTCTTTCGTTAAATTCTATATTTTTATTCCATTATTTAAATTAAAGCTTTTGTTATAACAAATAGCAGTAATAAACTATTTATTGGTAACAAATAGAAGTTTAATTTTATGATTTTATGATACAGGCTTACGTTCCCAACAACTGAAATTAAACGTAAAATTCTGAATGGAAACTAAAATGGTATATTCTATTCAGATATCTAACAAGTAATCCAACTCGCTTTCATATGGAAAGCTGTTACGTTTTCAAAATATTCTTTTAGACAGTCTCAAAAAAAGAAGAAACGTCTGGTATAAAGAATGTGTCAAACAAAGGTACGCCTTATTGCAAACGGTATTATATTCCAAAACGAACTGCTTATAAACTGATATTAAGTTCACTGATTATTTCTTTACAATACGGACGCATTATTTATTTGTAACACCTTTATTATATTCAATGAGAAATTTTCCTAATCAAAATAAAATAATTCGCTTTGGCTTTTAGTGAAACATTTTTTTCACTTCTTGCGAAGTTGATAAATCCACGTTCTAAAGCGAGCATATATTTTTCCTTTTCGCCTTTTATTTCTAAACTTAATTATTACATTTAATCCGCTAGATACCAGTGTACAAAGTAAATGAAGCAGATGAAAAACATTCTTTTATATGCATGAATATCTACATGTGTAAAGTGCTATCATGTTGATAAAATATTAGTAATTTTAAAGGAAACATGAAGTATGCAATAGTAATCACTTTATTCATGAAAATAAAATAGCTGAAATGAACTATTATTGAAACTGAAATAGAAAACGAATTCTTGTTTTTAATTATTATTAATTTAATTTATTTTTAATTGTCATTTGATTAGCACGTCGTCAGTCATTAAACAGTTTTTATTTTTGAACTTATATTTTCGATTAACAATTAAGGTAGACTTTTTATTTAAATCTGTAATTCATGTTGTTTCGTAATTCTTTCCGATTTTAGTATTTAGGAAACCTAAAATCTTTTGGAAAAGTATAGATTAGTATTCTTTCTTTACTCTTCCAGATTTTAATCCTTAGAAAATCCTAAACCTTCTAAAAATGTAGACGAAATCTATTCGTTAAGAATTCTTTTTGTTTACATGATATCTTTCTTTCAAAATTGTGTTAAAATAAGATTAATAAACTATAAATAATCATTTAAGAAAAATTCTCGATACGTTTATAATTTGCAATTAAATATATCAAAATGATAATTTATGCTGTTCAATAGTATAAATGCATTCCGTGAGCATGATCTTTATGTCTACTTTACGATTCTATCTTATTTTATGATTTTCTATAAATATAATAAAAATAAGTTTTAGACCCACTTCTGCTAAAAGAAAGCAACTACGTAATCAAACTCTCTTTCTACACTCATGTTTCAAAATTAAGAGAAGTTGCAAATTATGTCTATTTTTACTAAACATATTGAACCAAATATACTAACTATGCCCCCGAATAGTTATGTGAATATTCATAGTCGAATACACTAACGTACATTGCGTGTCTACAGATCTGTGATTGTAGAGGGAATATACTCGCACGAAGAATTTTCCGCAATTTGTGTGCCTGTGTCGTATTTCTCGAAAGAGTTGGTTAATTTTATAAGGCATCGAATAAAATAAGTAGCCATGAACGTGTAAATGAAAAAATGAGAGGAAGAATTGTCGGTAGATTGGAGGCAGACCAATCACAAACGTAGCTGTCTACAGAGTTCAATGCAACATCCAGTGTCTTCTGCAGTTCGTGAGAACAGTTTCAAGACAATGAATACATATGGAGATACATTGATTTCTCGAAACCTGCAAATGTAGAATTCTACTTCTTATTACTGGCATTGAAGAACGGTATTCTTATGCTCCGAATGTAGCTTCCTCAGCATTCGAAATAGCAGCCAACATCACTACGCTGTGAACATTTGTTTCCAATACAGTGAGCGCCTGATGAAAAGCCAAGCCAGGGCACTGTGCTTAGAATTTGGTTATCTCTAGCTCCCAAGCAGTAAACTCAAGAAAAAAAGGAGCAGTAGCACGCATTAAATGGGTGTCGGAATAATAACAGCAGCCATAACAACAGCATCTGCCCTTAAAAGCGCCTCCAATATTAATTTCTTTTGCAGTTGTGCTCTAAACAGTAGCACTCACTCATTCAACTGCAAAAGAAGGCGAAAAAAATTAGCGGCGCAACAACTCAGAAAGATCGCCGCCACAATCACAGTCTTCTCCAGTCTATCTTCTAATTACCTCGAGATTCAGAAATTTCCGCTTTTTATAAGCTAGTACAGTAAGTCAACAGTTAAGCGTCTCAGCTAATGAAAACAATTTCACATGGAGAAGAACAATAAATCATAAAATTCCTGTTGCTTATCAGACAAAATGAACTGAAAGTTCTTGTCTGATGAAATTGCATGTTGCAAGAAATAAAGTTGTAAATAACTCTGTCGCCAAATTGTCAAACAGAAACTGATAGAATCTCCTAGCTCTTGGCATCATAAGCTTGTGCAATCTCTCAGATGTTTTCGTAAAAGTTGTGTTAATTCAAAAACTTGAATTCAGCGTGATCTCGGCACAGCTACTTCACTGTTTTTGCACGCTCCAGTATTCTCACCTGAAGTTCCCTCTTTTAATCCCATGGTAATCTATATAGCTTGAGGTCATTTGCCTACTAAGACCGCTTCCACATTAAAGTTTGGGCTGGTTTAGATTACAACTATTTAATAATTCTACCTAGTAGTATGACATCTTTTTAAGCAAGATAGCTTGCCAGAACGTCTTTCCGCTTTCCTTCAGATATTCGTAGAAGAATGCGATTCCTGTACGATACAGCTCCAACCCACTTCAGCGATTACGTCAGAAATTACTTCGAGCTTATGGTCCTCACTAAATCAGTTGGGTGTGGAACTGTTTCTTGGCCACCACGATAAGGCACTACTTTCTGTGCATGCGTGGATTTGTTCTTCGGGGTAAGGCACATTAAAATTATATTCTAGAAAGTTCTCATTAGTCCGATGAGGATTTACTCGTTAGACAGTCAGTTGCTGCTAAAAATGTGCATGAAATGCCAGAGATATCTCCTAATGCCCAGCAAACCATGCGGCACCACGTAAATCTAGTACTACTGTGAAGCGGTAGCATTTTCGAGGTGCTTATTTTAAATTTCTTTGTCTTTCATACTTCTATTTTCTCTTTTATGTTCTCTTTTCTCTACTATCGTTACATATCAGCACTTACACGTACCGTTTTCACACACAGACTCCATAACAAAATCTGCTATTTTGACATTCGTTGGCTTTCGTACTTACCTATTTTTAATACATTCCTTACTTGCTGGCACTTGCATGCAACATTTCCGGGTACACATTCCATTACAAAATCTGCTTTTTACGGTTCTTTTACCTGCTCTATACTTTATACCAGATAATTTATAATCACTCTTTTAGTTAAAATATAATATGCTGCTAGCGCGCATTTTAAAGTTTGATAATTTTAAAATGAGCATATCTTTAGAATTTCCGATACACAGTTCCACGCGCTGCAGATAAAAAGGTGGGTATTTTTTTTTTCGATAGAGTGTTGCCATTGCTCGCTTTTAAATCGTTGAGTTTGTGAATCAAAAATTCGTTAAAGTTTTACAAAATATGAAATCGATAATAAATCAAATTCCGAATTTCAAATTTTGTCTTCTACATAACCATATTCGTAGGAGGATTACATCATTCAATATTCGATGGCTCTATGTACCGTCATTTTATCAGAATGCGAGAAATATACATACATTTATTAAGATTTTTCATTATTTAATTTATTCAAATATAAGGCAGGACTCTAACATTTGGTGGCAACAGTTAGAAAAGTGGTTCGCCGTTTATACAGTGAGTTCTCGCAAAATCGCAAAACGAAAACAATAGTCCTTCTGTGACAAAGCCCCTTTGGACTATAAAAAGAAAAAAAGCAAAAAAAAGAAAGAAACAGTTTTTCACAGACGATTCCAGTATTTCTCATTCAATTAATTCAGTTTTCCCTTCGTGACAAAGCAAAAATACATAAAAACTCAAAATATCTGTACTGAAAATTATGAAGTAAATCTTAAACACTTATTTCCTTCAATAATGTTTTCCAAAATGGATTAAGCATGATTTAATTTGCAATAATAAAAGAAGGCGTTATCTTTGTTATTGCGAAGCTTACTTTCTCTAGATTGGCGAACAAAATCTACTATTTTGCTGCTTCAAATGTAAACAAACATTGTTGCCACTGCAAAGATAATTAAGCTTAGCGACACTTAAACAGCTTTTAAATTGTTAATAATTTCCGTGCAGATTTACTAAAGGCATAAAAACCTTAACCGGAAGAAAAGAACAACATAATTCAATCATTTTTAAAACAAATAGTGCACAATTTACAAACATACAAGAATAAAGAAACTGAGATTACTGAGTCGAGTAAAAGATATATATACATATATTTATATACTTTTGCTACGGCGGATTGCAACCAAAGTGCGAGGTGCACATCTGCATGCTATAGCAGTCCTATATACAAAATTTCAATCTTCTGAGGCTACTCGTTTATGAGTTATGCGAGATACGTACGCACAGACATCTCGAAAATTTCTCTTCAGAATTTATTTTAAATCAGTTTTATAATTTTTTTCGGGGGGGGGCAGATTCCTTTATTCAGTCCTTACGTACAGATATCACGCAAAAATATCGTTAAATTGCATTCGATAACGGTCAAAGTGGATATTTTCGTTGAAATATGATGCCTGAAGTTTTCCGCGATTACAATACTTCCTTTTTACTTCGTACAAGGAAGTAAAAAGGAACATATGTTTAGTACGAATTTTATTTGATTAATGCTATTAATCTTTTCTTTAGGTCCCAGCTGGTGGCCACCAAACGCTCATCGTTGAAGAATTCGAGCCAGACGTCTTCCGACAATTAATCGAGTATATTCACACAGGATGTGTCACCTTACAAGCCAGGACGCTACTGGGTATGCAACTGTTCACATCCCGAGAATCAATCAGAAGTAAAATGTATATACAGAGTGATTCGAAACTCCCTCTACAAACTTTAAGGAAACAAAGGACAACTAAAACAAACCTCTTTCGTTAATGGAATGTATGCGCGCATGCGTCATTCTTCGAAGCTAAAAGGTGCTGTTGGTACGTGAATAAAGGGAGGAAATTGTGAACAATATTTTTATTTTCAACAGTTTTATGGTAATTGGAATTATAAACAGTGTTTTTATTTACAACAGTTTTGTGGAACTTGGAATGTTGTGAAACATAAAATGTTACAATTTAACACACTTGTGGAAGTAAACATGCAAAAATTCGGCATTCTGCACCAGTCCTTTAGGGAACCATTCGCAGTAAAGTTTTGCACCGCTGCTGTATGTAGTATCAAGGAAAGCACAGAATGACACCCAGGCCTTAATGGCAACATTCCGCGCGCGTAAATTTTAGCTGCTTTTGAAGTCTAACACTCCCTTCCCTGTGCAGTACTCACTATCTTCTTTGACTCACCCTAGGCAGTGTTGCACTGATGAGGCAATGAAATGGCTGATAGGTTCAGACTTTTAAATGCCCGGCCATTGGAAAGAAAAAACGATAAGAAACTTACAGCAACTCTTCATTTCTCAATAGCAATACGTATCTTGTATATTAGATGAATTCTTTTTTTCAGCATTCATAAAAGGTATATCAGGCCTATGAAAAATCAAAATCCGCGTTAAGAATGATTAAATGAGAAAATATCCAATAGCCGCATTGTCAGAAATACCTTTTTGTTTTCTCCATCAAAGAATTTATGTGTGGAAACACGTTCACTAATGCAAACAATTAATTTTAGTGCTCCCTTTCTTTCATTAAAGTTTATAATGAGAGTTTGAAATCACCCTGTATATTAAAATTCGACAGATACGAAAGAAGTGTCAGAAAAGAATGATAACAAACCATCGCGTTTTCCAAATGAACAACCAATGTTTGCCACTGAAGTTTTACAGCACCTAATTTCAGAATTTTCGAAAATTTAAGATATTTATACTATTATTAGATATACTCTCATCATGTGCCTAGTACATTAAATGCCCATCTGCTCAAAAAATTTATTTTGTAACAAGTTAGTGCCTAAGCATATAAACTGTTTCGAGTTTGAACAGTTAATTTCTATCTTTTTAAAAATATCCCACTATACTATTTTTACCATTTAGCACTTTTCATTCATTTCTTTGTCATTTCTGTAACTCTCACCTGAGTAAAACAACTTGCTATATACATTTTAGTATAATTAATTAGTCATTTTATTTTGGTAATCAAATCCTAGACATGCAGTTTTACATACAAAGTGCAAATAAAAACAAAATTATTTATTAGAAACTCTGAAAGACTGTAAGAAAAAGAATAAACATAGTGTTAACTAAAGTTAGTTATCAGCAGAAATGCCTAAAATCTACATTTGTAAGCATTTGATAAATTAATTAGTTAATTAAAAATATCCAAGCAAATAAAACTAAACGAATAATTAATTAATTAAAAGTATCCAAGCAAATAAAACTAAACAAATAATTAATTAGTTAAAAGTATCCAAGCAAATAAAACTAAACGAAAAATATCTATGTCTTGTTGAATTGCAGACTTAAAATACACATTCAGAAATTTTTACGGCCAATAAGGGTCAGAAATTGTTTTAACTTTTAAAGAAATTAAAACTAACTTAATATGATATTATTTTTTAAGCAGATGAGCACATCAGTTTCAAATATAATACAAAATTAATTATAACCTAACAACACAGAGTGTATTCTTATAGCCCAAGGTAAATTGTAACATAACAAGATATTAAGTCTTTGAAACAAAATACAAACTTAGATTATTTTATTAACCTTAGACTGGTGTGTATTTTAAATAACAATAGGATTTTGGGGACGATCTAACATGGGCTTATATTAGCAGCAAAAATGTTTGAGTGGATGGTTGGTGCAAGTTATCAGATATGTAGAAAAATCAAAAGGCAGAGAAAAGCGAAATTAAAAGTAGCTAGGAAAAGCTAGTAAAGCACAATTAACACCCAGTATTGTATTACGAGCTAGTTCAACAGGAATTGGAACACAACTGAGAGTTAGCTCAACGGGAATATGTTGCAGAGAACTCATTCAGCTGAAAAACGAACCTATCTCTCTATATATTACGATGCCCACTGCATGCTCTTGAATATGCGTTGTATCTGCATATTTAAGAGCAAGCTTTTAAATAGCAACTTTGTTTCTGTATTTGATTGCATATCGCGATATTTGGCAATGATGATAGCAATGACTGTGCGTTTCTATACTATTTAGTTCTCTTTTGTGTGTGCTTGTAATAGCAGCGGATATACCCATGTGTATGTAAATAACGTCAGCAGGCATGTTCATGTATATGCTCGCCAACCTAAAAACAATGTTAAAATTTTACGTCAAGAAATCCTATGTTAAAAAATCTTATTTTAGAGAAGAAAATAAATTAACCTTTTATTTTGTTCCTATAGTTCCTACAATACAATAGTTGTTCCTACAATAGTTTTGATTTCAATTCTACTGAAATTTCGCAAAGCTCCTTTAGCTGATGACGTGAATTTCCTTGAAGGATTTTACACTCATAAAAAATGTAGCTTCGTTAGCTAATTGCATTAATTTCAGTCCAGGTTTTCTAACTCTTTCAAAAATTTTAATATCTTAGCTTTAATTAGTGCTTTCTCAGCTTTTCCTAGCTACTTTTATTTTCGCTTTTCTTTGCCTTTTGATTTTCTACATATCTGATAACTTGCACCAACCACCCATTCAAACATTTTTGCTGCTAATAAAAGTCCATGATAGATCGTCCCCAAACTCCTATTGTTATTTAAAATACACACCAGTCTAAGGTTAATACAATAATCTAAGTTTGTAACAGACCTATTTAAGTGTAACTGAACTATTTTATTCACGCCATGAACTCATGAACTGTAACCGAACTATTTTATTTAAACGCCATCTCGTGGCGATATGAAAAAACGTCAGTCGAACTCCAGCCGCCATGATGTTATTTTACTATGTCTCTGTTATTCAACTGTTTGATGTTCCATTTGGTATATGTTTCATTTTTATGTATATTTCTTTTGTTTGTAACCGTTCCTGTGTGCTCTGTTAATAAATCCTTTTAAGGCTAGCCAGCATTAGTGTCTATTGAGGAACGGCTACATCACAAGTTTGTATTTTGTTTCAAAGACTTAATATTTTGTTATGCTACAATTTACCTTGGGCTATAAGAATACACTCTGGGTTGTTGTGTTACAATTAATTTTATATTATATTTGAAACTGATGTGCTCATCTGCTTAAAGAATAATCCTATATTAAGTCGTTAGTTTTAACTACTTGATAATATTTCAGAAGAAAATATTAATTTTTTAAAACTCGTACTATTCGGTAAAAACTTTGTATTATGCAGGAAAGAAGTAGTTGATAGCCTGTATCAAAAGCTATAAATATTTTTTTTGCACAAAACACCAAATATTTAATAAACATTTCTCAATACTTATGTATTTTTATATTAAAATATTTTTACAGTGTATGATATAGGGAAAGGAATAGCTTTTTTCCGAAATAGGAAGAGCTTAAATAAATTAAAATTTTGTATGAAATAGTATTTAACAGCTCGAAACAAATTGTGAACAATGTATTAATATTATTAATTAATGTATTAATATTTCTAGTCAGATGCCTAAATAATTTTAAAATAATAATACAATTCTCAGGTATTATTTATGACATGTATGTGAATAATAACAAAAAAAAGCAATATTTATATGACAATGGAGAGCTTTCTAGACACCAAAATTACTGAAATATCACGCGGTGTAAACAACAGTATTGCAGTTTTTTTAAATACTATTTGTTGGTGCAGCCAACTGGCCAAAATAGTTATATAAAGAAGAAATAGTTACATAAAGAAATATATTATAATAATCGCTTTGTTAATCAAAAACAGACAGTTTAAATTTGAAAGAAAAATTAAGTATCTTATACTTTGCCGTTTAAAAGGCAGAAAATTGACTCATGGAAGATTAAAATATTTTAAATGGGCAGTGGCTACACATTTCTTTTAAATTGCTGAGTTCTTTTATTAAATTTAAAAGAAAAATATATTTCTTATGTCGGTATCTCATTAAGTTTGAAACATATATTTTACATTTTGCAGAGTAGTAATGCATTGCTTTTTAATCGCCGAGTTTGTTAATAAAAATTTCCTCAAAAATATGAAATAAATCAAAAATATTGTTCGTACGTACGGGTTCGTAATATAGATTGAATACACAGGTCCGATAATAGGTTAATAAAAATTTATTTTTATCAAAAGAGATATTTCAGGACTGTAATTTTCCACAGAAATATTCGTACAAATGTTCACAGTATCGTACAGTGTAATCAGTAGTTACATTTCAAACTACTAAGACCATTAAAATCAACGCAATGCAAAGAGCATCTAAAGAGAAAGCTAACTCGGAGATCTCAGTTCATGCTGAAAACAACTCACAAAAACGATAGAAAGCAGATGCTCTCGCTTCGGCCTTAAATAGTTTTCAACTGGCAGCGAGATATTTCTCGTACTTTCTGCTTCAGGAAATTACTAGAAAGCAATACGAGGGTGGAATTACGGTTACAGCTAACATACTGGTCAATTACATTTATTCAATTTCAATACAAATTACCGAGATACCCATTTACTCAATGTTAAATGCACGTGTCCCTGTATTCTTACTTTTCTGGCGTCGTTTTCTCTTAAAATTTGTTTTGCGCTACGTTACACAGAAAAATACAACAATTTTAATTACAATTCTACTAAAATTACCTATCTAAATAAAAAATCCGTAACAATGTATTCAAAATTTCCTCTTCGATGCATATGTTCGTTTGGAGGACTACGTGTGTTCAAAATTAGGTGGCTCTAGCTCCTACCATTATTCCACAATACGTGGAACATACATACAGGCAAATTTTCCATTATATAGTAATAAAGATGGTACAGGCTTTTAATAGGAATCATATAGATACCCTGCTGATATTTTCTGATATCTGATTTTTAATGTTTACATTCTAAGCATTTTTATCAGTAAAACAATATATACTAACAAAAAAAGCTCTCAGCATGTGCACAAAAGCACATGTATGAGTAGATTAATTGCTGAAATTAAACGTATTTTATTTTGTACCTTTGAAATAGGAAAAGTTTTGATGTACTTTTTACCTCACCTGATGTACTTTTTAGCTTTGTTTGCTTTTTATAGGACTCATGAACGCCGCTGACTATTACAGCTTGGATGAGCTGAGAAAAGCATGTATGGGTTTTGTACAAGCTTGCATCAATGTCGATACAGTATGTGCTCTACTCGCTTCGGCTGAGAAGTACATTCAGTACAAGTGCACAAAATCTCTTGTTCAAAAGGTAAAATAGCCCTTATTTTTGCAATTTATTGAACAAAATATTTATCATTCATTAGAATATCATAAAAATATGTAATGCATCATCCATTTTTTCTTCATTAATATACAAGTAATAATACATATTGGGGAAATCAAACAATTATCACTTTTAATAGACTTTGGTCTTGTGTATAACGTGTATTTGTATTCAAAGCAAGCTGTGATGAATATATGCATATATAGGCTAAAAAGAAATATGTGTGTAATTAGGTTCGGATAAAGAAAAAATAATAGTATTAAACTAGTCTAAATATTAGATACATATTCGATAGAAGCAGCATCCAAATGATTAAAAAAAGGAACATTATAGTCAAAATACAACCGCCGCGTAAAGAGGAAAGAATACGCAAACGTAAAAATTCATAAAAAGATCATGAAAACTCTAAAAGAGGTTTTTATATTTCTCATGGCATATTATCAGGAAACTGGTGTTCCGAGAAATGCATAAAACATAGCTTTTTTTCTGATCCAACCAATGAACAATTTAGTAAAAGCGAATAATTTAATAAATTAAAAACTTAAACCGCGAACCTCTGGAATACCGGCCCAGTGTGCAAACCATCACACCACGAAGGCATGCGAAGAAGGTGGGAGAAATACTTTATATACTCCCCCTTTTAAAGGGCACTAGGGTTTTAGAGACCCAGTCGCCAAATTCTGGGTGGGGAGAATCAACATCCACCATCCTTTTAATTCGGGCGCCACTGCAGAGACATTAGGTATTTTGTGGAAGCAAGAGAGATTAAAAAATTAGCAACCGCCTTCGCCGGGAATCGAACCACGGACCTCTGGAATACCGGCCCAGTGTGACATGCAGAGTTCCATGAAAGTGGTCTGAATATTTTGCATAGGAAGGTTTTTCTCAGGAGAGAAACGTTTCTTATATCAAACAATAAGACATAAGCTTATTATTTTAGTCTTATTGTTTGAGTTTAATTGACATTTTATACTCGAATAATAAGACACTCATCATATCATAATTAGTTAAAAATAAAACATTTCCATACTGTTACATTCAAGACTCTGTTAGATGTTCGAGAATTAGCTCAGGTCATTTTTCTGTATCCGTAACCTATTTAAATGGGCATAAATCATTAAGATTTTCAAGATTTTTTTATTGTTTATAATATTTAATGTCTTTATTTTGACATAAGAAGAAAAAGAAACGATTAAAAGTGTGATTTTTCTAGTTTTCCTCCATGCTATTTTTAATTTTTCTTCTAAGAAAGGGATCTTAATATTACTAAAGTTTGATATATTTTATTAGATAAAAGGTCTAAACATTTTGCTCAGTATCATAATATACAGCTGAATGATATTTTAGAAATTTTTATTTCTAATGTGATTGTAATGCGATTTCTCATTTTTAGACCTTTATTTGTGTATTTTATCATTCACTAAAATTTAAATTTTATTTTTAAAAAAGCATTTTGATAATTTAATAAATAATTTCAAACTAATATTTTAACATTTATTAGTCTCAGTAAGCATAAAAACTATTTTAAAGTATTCGTTGAGTTATCTACTGACTTTATAAGAACTTAAATAACTTTAAGTCCGTGGTTTCAGCAATGAAAAGTGTATGCATTAAAATTTTTAATATATCGTCATTTAAATGCAGACAATGTTATGTATGTAAATTTCGGTAGCGGTAAATTTATTGTATAAATTTACTAATAGTATGTCCTTTTCGCCAAAATTATGAAAATCAACAATTTAAAATATAAATCAAAAACTTAATGGTCTTTTTTAAATACAAGACTCTTGAGAACAAATTTAGAATGCTGTTACAAATCAAAAACTAACCATTTTTGTGATGAATAGTTTCTACTTGCAGCGTTCGTAATTAAATTATTATTCTTCACATTAATTTTTTTGAAAATGTCTATTAAACATCTTTCAAAGAATTTTCCCTATCAAAGACAAGGAACATTTTTTATGTAAATAAAACATCATGAATATTTTATTAACTGAAACATATACGGTATGAGGAACTTATAGAAAATTATATAATCCATCGTGAATATTAATAATGTTTTCATAATATTTTTCAATATATTTTTAAAGCTTTGTAATTCGAAACTACGCGTCTTTTTTTTTAAAATTTTATAAAAAGTCCAAATTTTAAAAAATAACTTCCATAGCCACTTCTTTTCCAACTATACCGAATATCTTTTCTATTTTGAAAATACTTTCATTTTTTCTAACAACAAATATCTTAATTTTAGGTTTTAGAATTTGTAGACTCTCATGGCGATGATGTACTGAGTCTAGGTTCCTTCGCCCTTCTTCCAGAACATGTGGTTCGATTGATTTTGTCGCGGGAGGAGCTTCAAGCTGACGAACTAACTAAATTCCAAGCTGCTGCACATTGGAGTCGACGGTACTGCGATAATGAACCAGGTTCCGATCTCAGGGAGGTCATGTCCAATTTCCTCGAATGCATAGAGTTCTATAAGATCCCAGCTGGCGTCCTTATGAGAGAGGTAAACGAAACCTAAAATTCTTTTTGGCTTGTACTTTATATGTCTAAATAGAGTAATAGATATACAGTGAAAAATTACCACGAATAACACAACCATTAAATATGATTCATCCAATTTTGGTTAGTTAACACAAAGCGTCAAACAATATATGAAATGAGTAGCTTTAGTTTCACATAAATACCTTGAAACAGTAGGCTAATTTACGCCATACTTTCTCCAGTATATTATCAGTTACTATCTGCACAGCAATAACAGGTACAGGTTGAAGCAAGGCCGGCACCTGTGCACTCCCATAGATACATTAGGCATCGCTGGATCTTGCTAATTTTGCCTCGCCCCAATTTTGATGGATAACATGCTGAGGCCATTCTTAGGGTCTTCCACCCTTCTTCCCTTTGCATCGACCACTCAAGAGGATTTTCGGCTCATCATGTATTTTCAGTGCCACCATTCCGCAAGTACTATCCACTTTACTGATCGGGATAACCCACAGCAAAAACAAAACTTTTTAGATTATATGGGGTTGTAGGAAAATGCTGCGAAAACAGCACTTTTAACATGCTCCAAATAGAGAAATTTTCACGGCATGAGATCCAGTTACCTAAGAGGTCAGTTTTAAACCGTAAAAGTACTGTGTTGAAAGTGACCGATTCATCAATAAGTAAGCACTTCGTTATTACGTTAACATTTTGTTAATAATATACAACTCGGAAATTTCTGTCTAATTTCATGTATAAAGCAAAAATTTGTAAAATGTTTAAAATTGCACGGATGAAAATTGAAAATTTGTTATACGAAAGTATGGTTCGAAACATACATATCTGTGTAACGTTTCTGGAGGAGCGAAATAGGAAATATGTACTTCAATAATTGATCGATTGAAGGCGATATTCCTTTACCATTCGAAATGCCATCACAGGCACTTCGAATTGTGTACATGAAAGATGTTATAAAAGAACTGAGTACTTCACGAATGCAATTCATTGGTATGATATAGCAAACAAAAAGTAGTTGAAATCAGCTAATATTGATACGATCTGCAATCTCTGAAATAAATTTGGCTTTGATATCCCTTATCCTTCTTCGTGTTGCATTTTGGATAGCCAGCAGTGTGTATGAAACTAAAAGTAATTGTATCAAAAGCTGAAGTTAAACAGTTGTAGTACTTACAGTCAAGGCTAATTTATTTTAAATTATTCGCACTCAATTTTAATTAGTTTTATTAATCATCAGTGGTAAACAAAATTAGTTTTATTAATCATTTTTTCTTACAGTTGAATTTAACAGTAAGAAGAAACATTTGTTGAAATCTTTCAGATGCCGTTAAAATTGCGCTTAAAATCTTCTACCTAACAATCATGTCAAGCCTAACAATCGTGCCTAACAATCATATAACACCATTAAATTCTTTAATAGATACAATATACATAGAATAGAATGCCACGAGCATGAGGGCCTACTAAACGAGAACAACAGGTTAATTTCTTTTTCTTGAATGACATATTGTCGTTGTAGCTAAGATACATCCTGTACCTAAGGTATTGTAATGGTACTATGTACTGCACACAACAGCAATGTGTCAACCAATATGTTTTTCTGTATACATGTAGGATTTTACGTACCAATGTCTATTATACGTATAGTACATTTGATCAATTGTCACTTCATTCCTATTTGTGTTATGTAAAGCTTTTAATATACTATATAATTTTCCTTAATTTTGTATTTAATTGCATTAAAAATAGCATGTAAATGCCTATTAACGTACGATGAAAATATAAATTCTTATGAACTATTAAGAATAGAGTTCTTCATTTAATTGTATTAGTTTTTCGAATTTGTAGCATGTGACAAATGGACCAATATGCGATACTCTGCACACATATAGGCAATACGCATGTATCTGTGTCTATATGTTGTAAACTTGGACTAGAACTATATTAGTCTTATTTTTATTATGTATATATACATGGGGTTTCAGCAAATCAGCTACAAATCTTCAGGAGAGGTAGAGTATACCTAGACGATGGGAAATCACACAGCAATGCATAGTCGGAAACGCTTTTTTTGGCGCGGTAGTGACGACACAAAACACTAAAAAAGGAAAGAGACGAACAGTGTGATAAATCATGTTTTATTATGTTTAGTACAGCAAAAACCAACAAATAAGACAAAAAAACAGACAAAGATCATTATTAAAGGTGTTCGAAATTATGATCCCGGACCGTAATGCAGACCTCACATCTCCGGCGCCTGGAAGATCTGCATCACGAATGACGATCGCATGGAAGATGCATGATGCTCGGTAAACATTATTCTTATCTTGTTCGTGTCCTTTCTTTCTTGTGTCTTATCTAGGTGTACTCTAGCTCTCCTGAAAGTTTGTAACTAATTTCCTGAAACATTCTATATATAATATTCCCTTATTTTTATATTTAATTGCATTTATATATCTAGTTTCATATCATTGTCTACAATAGTGTACTTACTTTATTCACTTCATTCTGAATTTGTATATTGTGTAATCTAGAAGTATATCTGAAATTTCAATTGGGCATTTACATTATATTGCACATAATCTGTCTCCACCTGATGCAATACTCTGTTCGTTTTTAAAACAACACTATAGCGATGTCTCTATATTGAAAATATAGGTCTACAAAAGCCTTTTTTGCTGTCATCTCAGTCCTTGGCTGGGGTTTGGCCAAAGGAAGATCCACTCCGATGAGTAGGTAATAACCCCGTATGGTGAATACCCTAGTCGAAAGCCTGCTTTATATCGAGTAGCAGTATTTAATAGGCATATCAAGATCAGCAACCTTGACAGCTTATTTTACCAAAATTATAAATACTGTTTTAGTAGGTATACGAAACTTCGTAGCGCAGTTGATTTTACGTATAGTTTAGCAATTTAGTGATTTTTACAGTGATTACAGTGATTTTTTTAAATTTCAAAATACCTATATAACACTTCGTTATACCATTACATATCTGCATTTGGTTTTTCGCTTGTTTTAATTCTTAGCGGCAGAGAATAATTTAGTGCTTGAATAAAGATTGCCATTCAAAATGCAAAGCGAAAATTAGATGACAGGGGTGTCATTTTATGAAGTGCTCATATTTAAAAAAGCATTTAAGAAGAGGAAGGACTTGCAATAATAACGTTCTTCTGATAGGAACAATTTATGCTGTGTTGATGCTTCTTACAACTGAAATCTTAGGCTTCTTGATAGTTTCTATTAATATATAGAGAACGTTACCAAATTATTTCTTCCTGTTATTTGATTTTATTCTGAGGTAGTTAAAATTAGTTATTTTATTTGAATATAATTTTTAGCTTATAGTCTCAATCATTTAGTATTCATGATAAAAAATAATTTAAAATCTGTAAAACTAAATAAGTGAGCCAAGATGAGACATAAGGGCATGAAACATTGTCCATAATATAAATCGTTTTAAATTCAGATCCAGATTCATTCTTGAATGCAGAGAAGGGCATGAAACATTGTCCATAATATAAATCGTTTTAAATTCAGCTCCAGAATCATTCTGGAATGCAGAGACGGAAATTTTATTACCATATTAACGACTTCAGTTATATTCAATTGGAAATCTATTAGAGCTAATGTCAGCTCTAACTATTAATTGAATGCTGTATCATCTAACTGTAAAACCAGTTATATAATTATAGAAAAATTCAATATTTCGCGATGCTGAAAGATTCTTATTCATAACAACATATTTTTTTGTATTCATAGGTTCATCCATTAAATGTGGTACCAGATTATGTGATTATGAACGCTCTTGCCTATCAAGCGGATCCCTCAAGCGTGGACTTCCGGAAAGTGGGGTCGCCAAACAGATTCAGACGAATGTCATTAATGACTTTGCCCAGCCAGGAGCCCACCTCTTTGCTCACTGAAAAAGTGGCTCCCATTCCAGAAGGATCCGCCCAATCCTCCACAACAACAGAAGGATCCACGCCAGAATCTGAGAAGAAGACCAGCCGCTTCACCAAATCGACTCGGATTAGGTTGTACAAAAGAAGCAAAACTCTGGCTGAGAGTTAACCCGAAAGGTAGTTATAGGGTATTAAAATACATAATCGTGGTACATCTGTCATGTCTTGAAATCGGATTGTTGTACAACTATGCATTCGGTCCGGCTCAGAATGCCATTTTGTGAATTCTGTTCGTGTGCAAAACGGTCATTGGGAGAAGAAGATGAAGCATTTTACTTGACTAGTCATAAGCAGGAAGATAAGGTGCAATTTAGTTTAAAAGTTTGCGTATTCAACGAAAATATTTTTTAAATTCCAATTATACTTCCGAAAAAAAAATCAAAAGAGCTTGTTATTTCACTAAGCGATGACATAAAATTTCTAAAATGAGTCGGTATTAGAATTCTTTTAAAGCATTACCTTTAAATTCTTCTATGTAGCGTATTTTAATAAGGGGTTGATAGACGACTGACTTTTTATGAAAATTAAAGACATTGCGCTAAACAGAAAAACTAATGATGAATAGCTGAAAACTCGGGCATTTATTTAATTGCCAAAGCATTTAACAGATAAAAGCCTTACAATATGCTATTTAATTAAACAGTGAAAAGAATTTTTATAGCAAAACATATAGTTTTATGGTTTTTTTATTTCAAAAACTTAACTGAAGCCGAATGAAGTGCACTAAAAATTTGCTTTGAGGAAAATATAAATGAAACAAAATAGACTGAAATAAGTAACTGAACACTGAAAATCATATTTACTTTAATATATAAAGATAGATTAGGCATTCATGCTAAAAATTAAGCAGTTTTTTACTCGAACAGATGTGCAAATTTACAAACAGGGAGAAAATCATTATGTTTCACATAGTAAATGCTGAAGAAAAAAATCACACATTAAACATGATTTTAATATCTGATTAAACATTAAAACATCGCAAATGATTTAATGATTTAATATGTGGTTTTATATTAATCTAAAATCACATATTAAACATTTTTTCCATGTTTTGATAAAAAATTTCAAGGTTTCTTAGAAAAGGGTCTGATAGGTATAGTTAAATATTTTTTTAAAAAATCATTATTAGTAATGCGATTATTTTAAGACAGCTTCGTATAATAATAAAAATGATAACGATGATAATAAATATAACATTAAACAAACTTCAGAATTTCATTGGCTTTGATTTTATTGAAAACATTTACCAGCTTTGAGGGAGGGAGGTATATGATCCAGTTTCGTTAAAATTAAAAAAAAAAAAATTAACAAAAGGAGCAAGGTCGTGTATTATTATGTAATCTACATCTTAAAAAATATACATATTGCTTTCCTTTCCAAATTTTACATTGTTTATGGGGAAACTAACCGCAGTGATCAACAGACAGCATGAAGTTGATTACAGTCATGAATTCAAAAAATATTTTTTTCTTGTATTTGCAAGGAAGATCACTTGTTCTTGTTTTAAAACATTTCATTAACCATTTTGATTTTCATACACTTGATAGTTCATGATTATCTATTTTCTCTTAAAGGGGGCTTATCATTTTAAACAAAAAGAAATTCTTTACATAAACGCCATAATATTTAAATTGAAGTTTCATCTCTGGTATTGATATTAAATGAACACATATAGAAATTATACAGTTAGGGTTCCCGTTTAATGATAAAATGTTGTTGCAGTAAATTCCCGGATAAAAATGCTTGCAATTAAAAATAAAAGCTTACATTAATAACGTGAAAGTGAAACAATGGACAAAATTGTTAAAATTTTAAAATATGAACTTTTCATGTCGTGAAACTTAATCAGAAAATTGCTGGATGACAGAAAGAAAACAGTTGTAAATTTCTGAGGTTAAACACAATGTTAAAGATAACATTTTCTACGCTTATTTTATATGTACTATGATGAACAGTTTGATGTGTCGATGCAGTTATAAATATCATTTCAAGGCGTTACTGATGCACAAAATAGTGATTTACATCACGAAGCACTTTGTACAGTATAGGGTGTCTATAATAAGCCTCGCCGCCTATAACACTAATTAATGTTTCAGCCTACAGAACTAATGCTTCAGCTTATAGAACTAATCAACTTATCAGCCTTGGTTTCAAATTGTACATATCAATGGGTGCTCTCAAAAATTTCTGAAAATAATTTATGCATGATTCTTTCGTTTGAATGGCAATATCAAATATATTCTCTTCCCTAACTGATGTCAGGGATGATTGTGGACATAACAGAAGAAATGCTATGTCCACATTTCTTCATGTCTTATATGTCTTCAGGTATTCTAAGTTACTCATTTCCTAATTGCGAAGAATCTTGCTCTTGAAATTAATTTAGCAAGAAACAAAACTCAAGTAACCTAAGCTCAAACAAATTTTAGTTTTTAAAAGTCAAAAATCCTGCTAAGGAATTAGTCCTCTACGTTTAATTCATTGCAAAGGAAACAAATTTTAGATAGTTGCAGAACTTTAAATGCACTGCAAAACTTTGAGAAAATTTCGAATGAAATTTGCAGAGTTACCTCGACGTACACAAGCTTTACGTAAGAATCATTTCCAATATTTCCCCATTAACACTAGGGAGACGCCATGTTGACACCCTATACTTTTCGGACCATTTGTTTCTAAGTCTAGAAAATTTAAGAAATTGGAGAATGCTCCCATTAGCCTCCTGAGAGGTCTAACTTAACCTAAGATATTTGAAAAATGTCGTCATTATTCTTATAAGAAGTGTCGTGTTTATTCGTGGTTAAACATACTTAGATGCGTAAATTTCGGATTTCTCACAATGGTGTAGATAAACATTACGACTTTGGACGTGCTGATTTTGTTATAAAACATTGGATTATGCATCTACTACGATCATAATGAAAACATACAGATTATATCTTGGATAAACACGCGCAAAATCACGGAACATCTAGGAAATAACACCAATATGAAGTCTAAACAGAAAAATTGTTGACGTCTTTCACTGGGTCTAGAAATAGCATGGAGGATAATTAGTGTAGGACCCTAAAATCTAATTGCTTCCTCACTCAGATATAAACAAATAATAAATCCATCAAAATTGCGTTGTAAACTATCAAATGTGCCTGCCCGTTACAGACAAATATCCTGAAGATCATGTGAATTATAGCACCCAGGTATTAACTATATATTAACCATAAGATGCTGAACGCTTACTAAATTATAGATTCTAGTAATGCTTAATCCAAGGTCGAAACATTTACAGTTTAGTTTTCATATATTTCATACAGTGTTTGCTCAAGACTTTCTTTTAACTTGAAGAAAGAGAGGCTATAAGTAAAGGCGCGTTATTCTATATATTATAAAAATGTATAATATTTGCGCATACTTGATTCTTCAATAATAATAATAATAATAATAAATAATTATACAATTGGCAAATACTTTCCAAATATATACTCATTTATTGATAGAAATCATTAATAATTTCTTTTTAAGATAAAATACGCTCAGTACTTTTATTGAAAATGTTGACTATACAAGGTACTTATGATATGCTCCCGAAAAGCAAATGAACAACAAAAGACATTAGGTAAAATGAATATGCAGTATTTTCACTGAAAATACTAGAAGTACGTGTATAAAATACACTCAATGTTTCACGTATATGATTAGGACGCACACTATGTTCTATAATCTTATAAGGTATTTTCTCTGTCCTTCCAGCATGCTTTCGTGATGTAACGGTAGCACACTCGGCGCGTATTCGAGAGGTCCAGGGTCGAGAGCATTGCTCATTTTTCACGCCTCCTGCTTCAAAAAACCTAATGACAAGCTAATAAATAAAAGATACCATTAGATAAAATATATTGTTTGAATCTTTAGGACCTTACCATGTCATTTAAAAATTTCAAGGTTAAAGTAGATACTTAATAATAGTTTAATAAATAAACGTAAACAACTATATAAGATATATCTACTTTACAAAACGAGCATGTCTAAAATGGTGTAATTGTTATGCTTTCCATGATATCTACGATCTATCAGATAAATTATTATTAACTACGATTTTTTTTTTCTAGTACGGAAAACATTTTTACTACTCAGTTTTGTCGTGTGACGAAAAAACTTCTAATTTCGCCAGAGAAAATTTTTATCTGAATTTTCTAATTAATTTTATTCACTGAGATATTAACTGCGTGATTTCTAGTGTATCTTAAAAATATTTTCATACTTCTTTTGCGTGTTTTAATTATTCGCGTACCTTCGTATACCTTTCGCTTAACACAATGAAGTATAAAAAAGCTTATAATTTCTGTTTTTTTTTTTTTTTTTCCACACAGTATGTATTCTTTTTACTATTAAATCTTATACAAACTAGAATTAAATAAAAAATTCTACTAAGTTACAATTATTTCTTAAATCGGATTAGTGATTCGAAATATGCAGCTTTTCAGCACACTTTAAAAAAAAAATTATTAGTTCCTAACAGCATTTTGAAACAAACGAACATCTAGAAAATGACTGAATAGATGATATTTCAGAGAATATTATTGAGAAGTGGATAGGATGGAACTAAGATATGCAAACAGTCAATGAAAATGATGGCAGAAATTTTCCTAATCTAGAGTGATTTCGTCAGAAAATTACTTTATGAAGGATAACGTTTTATTTTACAGATTATGGTATTTGCGTATTTTCATAAAGTCATGCTTCCGGTTAGAGTGGAAGGATTTATTAGACTGGTCTTACTTAACAGACAACATAAGATAATATTTTCTAACTTGTTTTAATAGAGACTTATTACTGTTAGCAGAATAATTTTTTTGGAAGATTTTTACAATGTTTTTTATGGTCAACACAGTAGATGAAGTATGCTTTCCATATCAAAAACCTTGGTAAAAAGGTCATAGTGAAAAGTTAATAATTTTATATGTAATGGTAAATACGCAGTATGAAAGCCGGCATCTGGCAAAATAAGTATTAGCAGAATCAGCCAATTTAAGACTGCCAATCTGCTCTCATCAATTGTGCCAGCATAATATATACATATATATGTAGATATATACACAAGGTATGTATATATATATATGTATCTCGCTATATTAAGCGAGCATGTTTTTTTGTACATAAAGCATATTACATGTCAATTGTTAAAAGTGTTTATATGTTTATTGTATATCTAATATCTGTAACAGGTTTCTGAAATATTCTTCAGGCTGAAATAAGTAGTTATATCTAAATAACAATAATTTTTAGTTATTACAATTTATAATTAAATAGTCAAAATTGTTTGTTAAACTGTGTTAAATTAACATACTGTTTAAAATTTCTTATATGGTGTTTACCTTTTTACATTGGCTTGCATCAAATTGCTTAATATACGTAATAAAATTAAATAAATTATAATTCTTAACAATCTAGATTACAGCTCTCTATATAAATGTGCGTGTAAAGCATGATTAAGCTTTTTACTGAGATATAAATACTTATAGGAGTTTCGAAAAAATTTAAGAAACAAATTGGATTTTTATTCAAAATTTTCATTATTTTAAAAATGTTTCATAAAAATATTTTGTGAATTGAGAGCTCATTCAACTTTCGAATTATATGTTTATAAAAATGAAGGAGAAAATTATAATTTTATAATTCCATTTCGTTTATTGCTAACCGATTGATAATATAATGATTTTACGAATATAGCAACCTTTGAATTTATTTAACAATGAATCAAGTACATTGCAAACGCGCACCACTACTCACTATTAGCCGCTTTTATGAAATTATTGTCTATTTACGAAATTATTATTTTGATAATTTCAAATTAAGTTCTTGATGTAAATTTCAAATAAAATAATTTTCATTAAAAGCGGTACGTTAATACAAATATAAAGCTTTTCTACTGAAAATAATGATATAAAGATGTGAGTAAGCAGTAAGCATTCTTTTAAACTTATAAATCTAATTATGAAATGGAAAATTATGAATATCGGCAATTGCATGATTAAAATAAGATTCAAACGGTATACTTAATTAATTTATAGAATAGCAAATGTTGGTCAGCTGGAAAATTTATCATTTAAAATACAGTTTAACACTTAATGACAGAACTTAAAAACTTATGCGTAAAATTTTTTGTTCTAAAAAATTTGAAAACAATTGATAATTAAGAGAAATTTATATATATTACTCATCTGCATTTTTTGGAATTTAATCTATTATAGTACGAGATTAAACAAAAGCACTGAAACAGCTTAAGAATATTCTAGAAAACTGTGTTGTTGTCGTAAATGGGGAAAGCTAATCTGGCTTTGACATTTGTAATGAGCATTGTCAATCTCAGAGAAAATTTGTTAATGTATTGTGAATGTTAAGTCAGCACTTAGCACTGATTTCTTGTCAACAGTGTCTTACTTTCCAAAGAAGTGCCGTTCTATATGACAGATCTGTCATATACAAATTTCTGTAATGTTTTGCATAATGTGTAATGTTGTATTAGCCTAAAAATTTGAAACTTTTAAAAAAGGGGAAAATCCTGTTTTATTTTATTGCTGACAATCAAATATGGCGTCTCTTTTTGTGATGTGTTTGCCGCCATAGTGATATTAGAATATTTGGACTGCATTGTATCATAACTTGCCATATCGCACGGTCAGTATGAATAGCTGCAATTAGATAAAATTTATACGTAGATAGTATAAATGGTAAAATAACTTATGAACTAAAAAAATAACGTTATAGAGCATAACTACAGAAACCATTTTGAAAGTTATTAACTATTTCATATAAATAGCGCATCAAGATTGAAAATTAGCTGAAAAAATTATTCCTGTACTAATGTTAGATCTGTAAATTCGAAATTTAGCTAAAAAAATCAACTAAGAGCAAAATATCCAGAAAAATGCTAACATAATATATTAAAATTTGTCTGTTTAGTTCAATAATTTAACCAAAAGAATCAATTATGCAAAAATGGGAATTGATATTTTGTAATAATGCTAATTGCAGCTGTTTCTGAATGGCTATTGCATTTTGAATGGCGGCACAAATTTACGTGGTTTCTTTACATTTTGCAAATGTAATGCACTCTGTGTGCTATTGTGTATAATCTGTTTCCATATTCTTCCAGTTTGCCACTGATGGATTCAAATTTTTATGCAGTTGCTGTTGATCAGTTTATTTACTAAATGTTTAAATGGAGATATATCGCAAGTAATCAGAATAGATGTTAAAGCACCTGATTCATGTAATTTTCAAAGCTATCTAATTCTTATAGCAAAGTACGAACGTATTTATTAAGAACAACCATTTAAATCACTTTAATAATAAATTTTTACTATTGATCCACTAAAATTTAGCGTAAAATTAATTTTAAAATATCATCTCTTTTTTATTTATTAAAATGCAATTACTATAACTGAAATTGATATAGTTAAAATAATCAACAAAACTTGACTATTCGCTACTGAAGACTATTAGCTATATAAATGTAAGCGTGTTAATGTATCATAAATATGTAAATAGTATCACTGTAACTTATATTTTTATGCCTCATTTCAAAAGTGTGCAAATATGCCTGAGCAAACATTTTTTTTTTTTCCACATTTTATTAAGTTACGTCTGAGAATGGTAATTTAGTTTCAAAAATAAGAGCCCTAAAAAAAAAAAAAAGAGGATTGTAGTATTTCTTAAATTCAAAAGGAATCCAAAAAGTATCGAAGTTTGATTAAACTTAATTTAAATGTTTTGTTTGTACACAATGGATAACATATTTTACATTTAAATACCTTGCTAAATATATATGGTTTTAAAAGTCTTTTGCTCAAAAGTCGTTCAGTAAAGAAGAAGGAATTTTGACTAAGAATCCAATAATTAAAACTGGTTCATAAATACAGAGTATGGCGTTCTACAACAAATAAATACCTCTAAATATTTTTCGTTTGAAATTCAAAATAAAACAGAATCGGAAGAAAATTCTAATAAGGTAACAGCATACACCACACATTACCTTAATATAAATTTTCACTTCCGCTTAGAACATAACGCAATTTAGTTAAGAGAGGTCTGAATTTCTAACCGTGTTTAACAACGTTCTTCTAATGGAAGAAATCGATGCCAGACAGCAAAAGTATTGTTAACACAATGAAATCCATATTTAAATCGACTAATTCTTTAACATGCCGCTTTATAAATGATAAGTTCATGTTAATCTTGGCAGAAAAGCGACGCATTTCGAAAATTAAATGGCTTTAGCATACTGAAGCTATTTTATACTCCTATCTACAACAGATCAGCTGAGACTGAGAAAATATCGTAAATTAAAATAATCATAAAATAAAAAATACATGATTTTTAATTAAAGAAACTAACGCAATTCAAATTGCT